AAAGGGCGGGAAAACGTGAGGGGGTGGAAAAAAGGGCGGGAAAACGTGAGGGGGAGAAAAAAAGGGCGGGAAAATGTGAGGGGGAGAGAAAAAGCAGGAAAATGTGAGGGGGGAAAAAGGGCGGGAAAATGTGAGGGGGAGAGAAAAAGCGGGAAAACGTGAGGGGAGAAAAAGGGCGGGAAAACGTGAGGGGAATAAAAAAGGCGGGAAAACGTGAGGGGGGAAGAAATGGCAGGAACTGTGAGGGGAAAGAAGAGTGGAAAATGTGACCAAAAAAGGGGATCGATGACATTGATGGTGGGGGGGGCAGTGACGCCGGGAGAGGGAATCGATGTGACTTTGGGGGGTGTCAATGACATTGGAGGGGGATCAATGGCAGCCCTGAGGGGGGATGGTCAGTGACGTGAGGGGGATCGATCGCAGCTCGGGGGGGGTCAGTGAGGGTTTTGGGGGGTCGATCGCAGCTCGGGGGGCGGCCATGGGGTTCTGGGGGGCCGTGGCGCTGGCGGCCGTGCTGGTTTTGGGGCGGGGGGTTCCCTTCCAGCTGCAGGAGACGCTGCGGGGGCTGCGCGGGGAGAACGCGCGGCTGGAGGGGACCCTGCGCAACCTGAGCCGAGCGCTGGGGGCTCTGCGGGCGCGGCTGCGGGACCCCCCCGGTGAGTGCAGGAATGCCGAAAATCCACCATGACATCCTAAAAATCCACCCTGAAATCCTAAAAATCCACCCTGACATCCCCAAAATCCACCCTGAAATCCCCAAAATCCGCCCTGAAATACCCAAAATCCACCCTGAAATCCCCAAAATCCACCCTGAAATCCTAAAAATCCACCCTGAAATCCCCAAAATCCACCCTGAAATCCTAAAAATCCGCCCTGAAATCCTAAAAATCCACCCTGACATCCCTATGAACCCCTCAATCCTGGCTGGGGGATCCCCCCGGTGAGTGCAGGAATGCCGAAAATCCGCCATGAAATCCTAAAAATCCACCCTGAAATCCTAAAAATCCACCCTGACATCCCCAAAATCCACCCTGAAATCCTAAAAATCCACCCTGACATCCCCAAAATCCACCCTGAAATCCTAAAAATCCACCCTGGAATCCCAAAAATCTGCCCTGACATCCCTCTGAACCCCTCAACCCTGGCTGCGGGGCCACCCTGGATAATGGCACCCAAAAATCCCAAAAATCCACCCTAAAATCCTAAAAATCCATCCTGAAATCCCTCTGAACCATTCAACTCCAGCTGTGGGATCCCCTGGTGAGTGGGACCCCAAAATCCACCCTGAAATCCCAAAAATCCGCCCTGACATCCCTCTGAAACCTCAATCCTGGCTGCGGGACCCCCCCGGTGAGTGCAGGAATGCCGAAAATCCGCCCTGAAATCCTAAAAATCCACCCTGAAATCCTAAAAATCCACCCTAAAATCCCCAAAATCCGCCCTGAAATACCCAAAATCCACCCTAAAATCCCTCTGAACCCCTCAATCCTGGCTGCGGGACCCCCCGGTGAGTGCAGGAATGCCGAAAATCTGCCCTGAAATCCTAAAAATCCACCCTAAAATCCCTCTGAACCCCTCAATCCTGGCTGCGGGACCCCCCCGGTGAGTGCAGGAATGCCGAAAATCTGCCCTGAAATCCCAAAAATCCACCCTGACATCCCTCTGAAACCTAATCCCAAAAATCCGCCCTGACAGCCCAAAAATCCGCCCTAAAATCCTAAAAATCCACCATGAAATCCCAAAAATCCGCCCTGACATCCCTCTGAACCCCTCAATCCTGGCTGCGGGACCCCCCGGTGAGTGCAGGAATGACGAAAATCCGCCCTGATATCCCAAAAATCCACCCTGACATCCCAAAAATCCACCCTGACATCCCCAAAATCCACCCTGAAATCCTAAAAATCCACCCTGAAATCCTAAAAATCCACCCTGACATCCCCAAAATCCACCCTGAAATCCCTCTGAAGCCTAATCCCAAAAATCCGCCCTGACATCCCAAAAATCCACCCTGACATCCCTCTGAACCCCTCAATCCTGGCTGGGGGATCCCCTCGGTGAGTGCAGGAATGACGAAAATCCACCATGAAATCCGAAAAATCCTCCCTAAAATCCTAAAAATCCACCCTGAAATCCCCAAAATCCACCCTGAAATCCCAAAAATCCACCCTGACATCCCTCTGAACCCCTCAATCCTGGCTGCGGGACTCCCCTGGTGAGTGGGACCCCAAAATCCACCCTAAAATCCCCAAAAACCACCCTAAAATCCCAAAAATCCACCCTGAAATCCCTCTGAACTCCAAAACCAATCCCGAAATCCCCCCAAAACCCCTCAAAATCCCCCCAAATTCCCCCAAAATCCCCCCAAATTCCCCCAAATTCCCCCAAAATCCCCCCAAATCCTCCCTAAAAAACCCAAAATTCCCCCAAAAAACCCCTTAAAATCCACACAAA